CTGGTTTAAGGGGATGACGCTGCTGGGGACACGTGGATAGAGCGGGACCCTCTCAGCTTGGAAAAGCAGAGGTATGACGGAAGCCTATAAACTCGGCAATAGGGCACAGTAGGTACAGGCTAGGGAAAGACTATTCGCTCTCTGTCCCAGCGTAGGAACTGGAGGGCAGCGAACAAAGTTACGAGGCGCTGCCTCAAAAGAAGCCAAAGGAGGCACTGGTTCATGCGAACCATCACTAAACTGCGTTCCCCTAGGGGATGTTGTGCTAGTCAGGCTTTCACACGAGTCCCAGGAGTGTTTCTACAAACCCACAGAAGAAAAAGCAGTCTCTGAAAGCTTATTAAATAAAAACAGTTTCCGGCTTAGGATCGTTGAAGACAGGGAGGGCAGAGTAGGAAAGCGTCAGTACGGTGAAGATGTGTAGCCCTCGACACTTGTTACCGGCCACTATTGGAGACAGGATATTAAGTTAAAGAGACTCTTGGTCTGAGTCTGCGTGATTGTTCTCTCATTTTTACGTGAAACAATCTTGTTTCTGTCTCTTCAGGCGGGAGGGCGAAACTTGAAAGAAGGTCCCCAAAGACCTGTAAAAAAAAAAAAAAGAAAAAGAAAAAATCATATAAAAAATAATTCATTGTGGTAGAACACTGCTTTTTAGCCACTTTCATGATTATTTTAGGGTCTGGCTTTTTTGAATGTTTATAACTACCCATCCTGAGCTGAGCTGTGCCTGCTGGAGGCTGGGATGAAGGCGGTGGGGACCTGAGCTTTAGGAGCATACCTGCCACATGGGGACTTCTTTACCACCTGCCCTTCTCATTGCCAAGTCCAGCAATTCCCATCTACAAAACACTTTTCTCCTTCTTTTTGATTCAGTTATTAAAACTGCTAATTTCACTGTAGCCTGTGATATGAGAGCTTTCGGGACTTTAATAAAGATGATATTCCCACAGCGTGCAGCAGCTTTTTTTCTGAAAGAGAGGCACGTGAAAAAGCAAGGTTCAAACGGGCACGCGCTGTGGGATGCAAAAGCACCTTCCAAATTTTCCCATTTGAGCCCTCTTCTTACACTAGGTTGGAAATACCACTGCAGTCAAAACGGAAGCAAGGCCCTGGGAGTTTCTCCGCTGGAAATCTTAGTTGCTAATTCTAGCTGGAGAGGAACAACTTCACTCAAAAGAAAACGTCTCAGTGCATCAGCAACACCCGAGCGTGGCGTGACAACCGCACCGCGAGCCACTGTCTGCCAGACACCTTCAGCAGTGCTCAGAAGCTGTTCCAGGAAAAATCATCGTGCAGGGAAAATAAATCCAGACCAGCACAAAAACAAAGGCTTTCTGAGGAAACGGCCCATGCCAGCAGGGACACGTGCCAATGAACCCTCAAAAAAACCCAAACCAAAACAAAACCCAAAAAACCAACCAGCCACTCCCAAGGTACTGAAACCACAGCAACTCACAGAGTATTTCTCTTCCCTCGCCCGTTTGCTCTGGCCTAACAGGGGTTTTGGCTCTTCTTGCTGGACTCCTCGATTCTGCACAACGAGGACCGAAGCTACCCTGCAATTGCAAGTGTCACGTGGGGCCAGGAGGAGGAGGCCAACCCCGCTCAGGTCTCAGCCCAGACACTGGTACGCGAGGCTTGCAGGCGGAGGATCACCCAGTCATCTTTCTCCTCAACAAAAGCGGAAGCTGTTACTTGCTTGATAGTTGTTTCTTCTCAGAAAATTCACTGCGTCTCCCTGATTGACTAGTAAAACTTCGGCCTCTTTTTGTTTAATTTTATTTTTATTTTTTATAGTCACCCACTCACAGAGACTCAAACCCACCAAAATCTATTTAAAACTTTCAGCAAGCTATTGATCTCAAAACTTTGTTACTACCAGGAACTTGTTGCTCTGTGTGTGTATGTGTGGGGTGTTTTTTCAAATTTACATTGTTTTTATTATTCGACCAAACCACCCGCTACCCGAGTCTGCCGACTGCTGCCCCTCACCAGTGTAATCACCTGGTTGCTGCAGGCAGCCAGACATCACCTCTCACGCGGGGCTCAAGCTCAGGACAGAGAAACAGTTGTTCCTTTTGCGCCCCCACTATTCAGGCGTCCCGGGTTCATAAAACCACCTAGAACCCCCTCTAATTTTCAGAATACGTTAACTCACAGACGGTTTATGCTAACTTATTCCTGGGCCAAAATTGATGCTTGAACAGCTCTTTTTCCTCCCCAGATGTGTTTCAAGATAGCAGTCCCGTCCCCCTCTGTCATCTTCTGCTGGGTTTAGCAAGACAAACCAAGTTCACTCTTACAAGGAAAACTTCTGATCCCCCTTTCCTCTGCCTGCTCGGGCTTGAATTCTTTCATCTCTACTATGAACGAGGAGAAAGGTGCACAGTAATCCAGGTGAGATGTCGCAGTGTCACCTATAACGAACAATAATCCAACTGATTAATACACCCACTTGTTTCTCTCCATCATTTCCAACTGACGAGCTGCCGGTGTTTACAACTTCCCCGTGTCGAGGTAACCCTGAGTGAGCAGCTCTAACTCACCTGAGTGAGCAGCTTTAGCACATTTGGGTCGTTGTCACTAGACTTGGCTGTCCAGGCTCCACTTCTTTTTTTTTTTTTTTCTTTCTTTTTTAATTACACAAAGATGGAGTTGGCCACTTTGCCTGCAGTTCTGGTTGCTCAACAATTTCCATTATAAGCTCCTGTTTTCATTTGTTTTAGATTTACCAAACTCAAAACCGTTCAGTCTCACATTTTCCACACTTCTAGTCTGCTTTGGGCTGGCTTTTTTCCCTGTTTCAGGAAATGGGATCATTTGTTTCCAAGAACAAACCAATGGAAAATTAGTTGTTAAATAGGTCCATCTGTTTCTTTGAGGAGTTTTACCACCTGCCTGCAGTGGGAAGGAACCTGAAATTTGGCAAGGAGAAACTCTAGGGAAGCATCTTCCTGCTGTCCCCAGAAAAATCTACCCATGCTTAGCTCAGTATACATTTCTGACAATTCTCATTTTTGCATCTGCTAGCTAGCACACATCCCCGAATACTCCAAAGGGGGTCACGCATGCTCTCAGGCGTGGAGGAGAAAGGGCTGGGACGTGTCACCCTCAGGAGGATGCACCACCAGTAACAGTAGCAGCTACAGCCCTTCTCTTCTCACGTTGCTGGTCATGTCTGTGGGTCGTTCAGCCCAGCCAAAGGTGCTGAGGACAGACAGGCACCTTCTGAAGCTTTGCTTTAAGCAGAAGAACACATCTGACTTTTAAAATGAAAATATTAACACTGGTACACAACCACACAGAGTAAAAACGTTTCAGATCCACGTATTGCACGTGACTCGTCCCCTCAAAGAAATTTGCTCTCAGAACATTTTTCCGTGACTTATCGGCACCGGTTTCTGTCGCAGGAGATGCAACCCCATGCTGGCACTGGGTAGAATTAGTAACATACCCGTGCTATAACATAGGATAGGGACAACAGAAGCATCCCAGCACCAAACTCTCGATTTATATTCTCATTCACCCGACCAGGGCAGCCCGAACATGAGTATACAGACCCAGGCTAGGAACAAAGTGCAAAACAGGAAATAATCACCAGCTCTTTTTGGAAATGACCCAGGAGTGCCCCCGTTGTCCCCCCTCAGCTGTTTGTTTACCTGTTACATGCACTTGCTGAACTGAAGAGCCGTGGTCAACTTTGACTTTTTTTCCTATTAAAAAAAAAAGAGTCTATATTGAAAATATTGCACCAAAGCACGCCTAAGCCTCCAACTCCCTGCTAGTTTGCCTGCGCTTCCTGTACTCGCAAAAGAACAATATGAAAAATAGATTGGCTCATCTGCATCAGGAATTAGTAGAGAATAGGTGCATAAAAAAGGCAAAAAAAAAAAAAAGTAAATAAATCAAAAAAGAGGGTATTCGCCCTCTTGTGTGTTTTTCACTTTTATGCACCACATGTAACCTTGGAACATAATCTTTTTTGAGACAGCAGCATGGAAGTCCTTCTCTGGTTCAGGAGTATCTCCCAAAAGGAGGGAAATGCATGTGTCCTTGGGAATTGAAGGCATTTTTTGATCTTTCCAGACAGGAAGAAAGTGTTACAGCTTCTGCTTCGTGCCAGCCCAAGGCAGTAAATACATCAAGATTCAAGTAAGTATTTTTTTTCCTCTTATCTGAAACCCTTATTTAACCATAGGTTTAATTATAAAAATTTAAATTCTTTGTCCACTGTAAAATAAGCAGCTTACACTCGCGATCTAAACTTTCAGTCAGGAAAGCTGGACTATATCCTATAATTGTTTTATACAAAGATTTAGCAGAAACAAAAAATTGCTGGTTAATTATCCTTCAGATTTAGGAGAAAGATCAAAGACTGCCGTCACAGTTCTAACATACAGACTTGGCCAGTTTTTTTCAGATTTGTTTGCCTGATTCCTGACGTCCCAGTTGTGGTTGTCTTATTTCAAAGATGCGGAGCAACTTCAGGTTTTTCCCAAGTCAGTGAGCTCTAATTTTAGATGCCAACGCGGTAGGCTCTGCGCTCAGTTATGCAAGTGCCTGGCTGCGTGTGGGTAGTGCAAATAACTCAGAAGGAGCTGCTCGTGTAAGTAGAGCTATACATACGCCTTTCCTTGTCACTGGGTCACAGAATCACAGAGTGGTTGAGGTTGGAAGGGACCTCTGGAGATCATCTAGTCCGACCCCCCTGCTCAAGCAGGGTCCTCTAGCGCACATTTCCCAGGATCGCGTCCAGGCGGGTTTTGAATATCTCCAGCGAAGGAGACTCCACAACCTCTCCGGGCAACCTGGTCCAGTGCTCTGTCACCCTCCCAGGAAAGAAGTTTTTCCTCATGTTCAGGATGGGTCAGGACACCGGTGCCAAAAACTTTCACCTAACTTTTACGCTCCCCTTTCTGGCTTCAGAAATTAATCATTAAAGAAGAAAAACAAACAATGGGTAGTTTAATTTTATTCCTAAGGAATTTTTATTCCATTTGAGTGAATCAATACATGTCTTTGTGAAACGGGAGGCAGCAGTTAATGTTGTACATTTTTATGTGGCATCTAGTCTAACGTGGCAACGGAGAAGTGCACAAAATTCTTCCGTATTGTAGTAGGTTGTTTAAGACAGTTACCTGTGATCAATATTTCTGCAAAATTACACAGTGATGGTAATAAATCTGGTATTTCATAACACTTTTTTTTTTGTTTTGGCTCTCATTTGGCATTCTAGCCTACATCTTTTGAAGCAAACAGTAAACAGTTTCATGCTGGCTTTAGAAAAAATAGTACTAATAGTAAATGACACTAGCAGTATAAAAATTTTAAGCAGTTCTTTGCACATATCTCAAGCCCACTAGTTTTCTGAGACACATTGATAGCACCAGCATGTGTGCAGGAGATGACTGTGAAGCCACCTTGTAGGCTAAAAAGCAGAAGGGAAAACTCTGTCTGGATACAGAGGAATTTCTTCACTGTTTCTTTAGGTCTCGCCTCTTCATCCTGATGGAAACTACAACAATATCCTGCCTACAGTCATAGCGGTACAAGTCTGTGGACGACTCGGTGCAAAGTCGGCTCCAGGGTACGTTTTTATATCTTGGAACGCTGAACACAGTTGTTATTGTTATTCAGAGGAATTACAACAGCAAAAGTCGGGTACAGGGATTGGAAGGCTTATAAGAACGCTTGCTTCCCAACATTTGGCTAGGGAAGAAAGGAGGTCCAGTACCTCGGGGTATTAAATACAAGCAGAAGCAAGCTCACTGACTGCACAGCTGATGTAGAAAAACCCCAAAACCAGAGTGGGCAGATTCAGCAGAAATCAGATTGGGCAGAACAGCAGATTTAGCCCAGGATTAATCTTCCTCTTTTTTCAGTGAATTCTGTATTTAATTAGCATTTGATAACCCATTTATGGCCACAACCATGCAGTGGAGGAAAGCCTGGCACGTTGGAGTCCCAGGCAACGCCCAGGTAGAGTTAGTATTGCAATAGGCAGCCTGATGCTTAAGAATACGGCTTGACAACCTTTTCCGGCAGTCACCGCTGTAACTCCCCAGAGCTTCGTTTGCCCAAGCACAGCACCACCTACACCAGAAGCAAGTATCTCACCTTGCGGAGATTAGTCCTACTGAGATCACGTAGAGCAGCAGGGTTGGAGAGTTTGGGCGCCTTCCAGCCCCTCCTGCTTTGCTTTGGTTTTAGTTTGTCCTTTGGTCATGTTTTAACCCCATCTCTTGTCTATACAGTTGCAAACATTGTTTATATTATCTTTTTTGTTATTTAAAAAAAAAAAGCTTCTATGGTTTCCATCAGGAGAACAGAAACTGAAATTACTTCTCCAGACGAGCCAATGTGTACACAAAACTTTGAAGTGCTCTCGGTGCTCTCTGTGCAATGCAATCTACGATACAGTAACAGGAATCAAATGAAAATATGAACATAAACTCACAAGTCCAGGTGCTTGATGTGTGAATGCTACTTGACTCACTGGACCAAATATTTGCACTATTACATCCAGAGAAACTTCTGGTTTCTACTAAGATATATTGATATTACTCGGAGAAGAATATAGCTCAATTTGCTGTCTACATTTGAAGGTCAGAGTTTGAGAGGGAGGGTGTGGAAGATATGCTTTAACAAGAGAAAATGAGGAAAGAAAGAAAGAATACAGTCAGGAATAAAATGCTCGGAGGGTCTTGTGAACCTGAGGCATAAGTGAAGCAAAGCACAAACAAACAAGCACAATCGCCAACCACAAACAATAATCCGGTCGCTAACACCACAGTACCATGGAGCTTTCTCTCCAAAAAGGTGTTTTACAGTGGCCTGTAGGAGAAGACATCCACCTGGGGGTACTTCAGAAGAGGAGAGGAGAAGAATCTCCTTTGAAGAAGCAAGTGATATACAGCAGGCAAGGCTTGACTTTTACCAATAAATTGTCAAGCCAGCTGTGAAAGGGTTCACCCTTTTAGTCAGAGATTCGTTAGGACCCATACATGTTCAACCAGCTCCGTAAATCTGAAGGTGCTCTAAGTGCTTCCACAGCTAATATTATATGTTCCGTCAGATAGCACCTTGCATTTTGACATTCAGGTGACTGTACTAACGCTGAGGTAAAATCCAAACTTCTATCACTAAACTGTATAAGTAAGCAGTTGCACGATCAGCCGTCTATTTCAGTTTAGCAAGCTACTTATTTAAAAAAAAAATCTGAAAAGAATGTGATCAAAAGGTAGTTCTGATTTTCTTGCCATCTGCATTACTGTTGAGGCTGGCAGAAGCTGTGGTCCTGCCTATTCCCGGTGCTTCCGATCACTGTCCAGAAGAAAGCTGCCAAAACAGGCATGCCCTTTCTTACAGAGAGCAGAAACATTCGGCAGCTGCTCGCGTTCTCTTTCACGTATTTTTCCTTCTGCTGGCATCGACATGCGCGGCTACAGACGCCAGGGTGCTGCCCCATCTCCCACTGCTCGTTTCCTGCAGTGCAAGCAGGAAGCCTCCTTCCGTGCCTGGACCCATCTGGACTAAGATAAATCTGAAGGCTGCCTAGTGACTGCCATATAAACATACAACAAGTCCGATGATCTAACCTACAAGGCTGCAGTTTTTTGGTATAATTAAGTGGAGAAGACGCCAAGAAAATAATTACTGGAAAGTTTTCTTTCAATATATTACGATAGAAATTTCTCAATAGCTTCGAGGAACTCTGTGGAGGAGCTCAGCCCTTCTAAGTCCAGCAGATTGCTCTTTTTGTCATTGAAGGGGAATAATTCAGTCTCTTCCTCTTCATTTTCAAGTTCCTCTTGGAACAGGTTAGTCTCTGAAGTAGGAATGATAATGATGCGAGGGACCGTATTGCTAATGATAGAGTCCAGGCCTCCATTAATTTGAGTTTCCGTGTGTGAAGTACCCGTGTCTCCTCCTTTGTTGATACTGCTGCTGTTCAAACCAACAGGCAGAGAAGCTGCTTTTAGGGAGCTGGCCACAAGCGTTTCAGGGGGGCTGTGTAGGACTGATCGCCCGAGCGCCTTCTCCAAACAGCTGGAGGAGAGCGAAACCTGGAGCAGAGACATAAGCTTTAGCATGCTCATACGGCATTTGGCTACAGAAACTAGTAGTTGAAATATTCAGTACCACTAGTCGCTATTTAAGTCACTAGTTAGATTTTCTAATGACTTGAAGCACTGACTAGAAGGAAGGAAAATGAGCGCATGTTAATATCTGCAGCTTTGAAAGCAGAACGTTAAATGAAGGGGGAAAAAAACCCTGAAATAAAAACCCTAAACTTGTTCAATTATCAACAGAGATAAAAAAAAAAAAAGCTTATTGCTCTATCTGACTCATTCTATGTTTTAAAAAACATTTTTCCATTTGTAATACATCTCAATAAACTGGACGATTGAACTGTTTTTCTCTCTGAATGAAAAGATCTCAGATAAAACTCTAGCACACTGCATACTTTATTTTCTTAAAGTTTCACCGTCTTTACAACTTTAGTAAGGCTCTCTGTCACGGTATCTTGATTTCCATCCCGGTACTGTCTCAGGCAAGTCAGTGGCTTTGTATTCAGACGTTGGACAGTACTTCCACCAACGAAACAGGGAAATACAGTTGACCACGATTTTGCTTTGCCCACCGTTTTCCATCTACCTATTTTGAAAGCACCTTAATGCCAATTTTAGTTTGCCTCTAGACTGAAAAAGATGTAAATGCCATCAGAAGCCTCTAAAAAGCAGCAATGCCTAGCTGCAGACTTGGAAGGCAGTCCAGTGTAAAGAGACTAATGTTTCGGAATCATCATAAACATACTGTTGGAAGGTCATGTAAGCATGTAATAAATGAAAAAGAAAGATACTTATAAAAACACTGTTTGAAAAACCTTATTAGATCTCTCTTTTCTAGAGCATAACTTGAACTAAGAACATGTGATTTTCAGACGTGGTCCTGACAGCTACTCCCCTGTGACCTTTTCATGTGCCGTAACTCCTCCTCAGAGTGTGCAAAACAAGCATTATCTACATCCGTAAGAAAGCTTTCAAAGTTTTAGCTAATATTTAAACGTACTGGCAACTGAAAGCATGAGTGATTAATTTCAGCTTCCTTCAGAAAATGACAATCACGGTTATAAAATCACTGTGCCAGATACAGAGAGAAGTTAGACGTCCTCCTCCCTGGGAAGGATCAACATTAAAAGTAAAATGCGCTATTTACTTCATTACTTGGTATTTTTCACGGAAGTCTAACAGAGCTCAGAGTAAGACTAAACTGCATTGGGATTCTTACAAAACATCTTCCAGAGTTATAGCTGTATTTGTCTCTATTAATATAGTTGTAAAGTATATGAATTAGCTACACTGGGTCCCTCCAGAGCTTGAGGTAACACTTTTGCAAAATCTTTCCTCCTCTGCAGATGTTTCTATTGCAGCCATAAACCATATTAATTCAGCTCTAGGCTCCTTGAAGCACTCAGGCATGTAATTCCCATTAATTTACAGGGAATTTGGCGCTGAAGCATCTTCTCAAAATGCTAGATCACAGTTGGTAGCACTTCCCAGTCCAGCGTGAGCTCCTGGACCCGTGTCTCCTTCTAGTCGCTGGCCTATGACGTTGCCCTCGCACCGACAAACTGAACAGTTCCTTAATTCAGGCAGGGGAAGCTCATTTTTTCTAGATTTAAAGGTCACAATCTCAGACTTTGCAATTAGTTTGGCATAATATACTATTACATATGTCTTAGTATGGTTTTACCTGGCTACCCTCTGTCATACTCCTTCCTTGATCCAGCCCCAGAAGCACCCCCCAAAACAATTCTCCTTCACCCACCAACACTTGAAAGAGAGAGAGAAAAAAATAAAATAAAATTCTTTGCAAGGGTATGCTCTGCCTGTTAGTGCCTGTGAAGTGCCTTACTGGCATTTAAAGTACCAGCAAGAAAGGCAGGTTTTCCAGCAACGTATGAGGGCAGGGCTGATGCGCCTCAAACTACGCAAGCACACCATAATCTTGGTTAACTTTGGAGAACCTGCACAATATCAGACTTATCACATTGGGGTGCGTTGTTTCTGTGATGTCCCTGTGCTCCAGACTTTTCCGCAGGATCTGCCGCTCCAAAAAAGCCCGCATTACTTACTATGCTAACGAAGCAACAGAGAGAAAAGAAAATTTGAAAAAAAGAAGGGAAAGAAAAGGAGCTTCTGGAGGAAGCGGAGTTTTCCTTGGTGTGACAGGGATAGGGACATCATGCCCAGATGTGAGAAATGAAGAGGAAAGGCACCAACTCCACACACCCTGATGGCAACAAAGTCTACACTTAAGCATATTCCTTGGCTTTTGTAAAGAAAACGGTGGGACGAGTTTGATAACGTCTCTCTCAGTCTAGGTTTCTTCATAGATAACAGTACATACTGCAGCATTATGCAGTTCTGCTCCACAAGCACAATCATTTCTAAAGCGCTACCTATGATGGTTTCTCCAGCTGCTGAAACAAACCTAGCCAGCAGAAGCACAATGTCATAGCCCCTAAAACAAGTGGTTTAAATATACCTGATAGAGGAGAAAAGTCTATTCTTCCAAGTCAAAGACAGAAAGAAACTCACTCTTCTGCCTAAGTGGATAAGAGCATGATATGGGCTTGTCTTGGGCGACAGCAAACCCAGCAGCTCCTGGTGGATCACGTAGTGATCCCGATCCCTGAGGACACACAGCTTGCCCAAGAACCGAGGCTTTTTTCTTGACAGCATCGAAAGCAGCATTAAAAAAAAAATTGCCTGCTCCCTTTAGTGTCCCTGCAGACCTTCTTCTCTGAGTAGATGTTATCATTTCCCTGTCACAGCATTTCTGGAGGGTGCCTCCCCACAAGGTCTAAGCTAACAGCCACCATTTCATAGGGGGTAATACCCCCGATGTAAAACTCGGATGGCTGGAGCACACTTGGCAACTCTCCCTCGAAATCAAGGTTACAGACCTATCCTACCCCCTTCAGCAACACCTGCATTTTAATGCTTCCAAAAAGGCCTTTTCACTGTCACATCAGCTTCCTAGTGTCAGTTTACATCAAGTTTATCAACGTCCTAACTCATTGCAGCAAGGCATAAGGCTGGATCATATTCCTGTAGTAGCACAGAAAACAGTACGGTTTGGAAAGTACCAGTCCTGGGACAGAGATTAGCTTTTTACTTTCACCTGAGGGTGGCTTAAATAAATAAATACAGTAAAATAATAAATCCTGCAACTGTGCATTAAGGAGTCTTGATCTCAGCCAACCAGTGAATAGAATTTACAGGTACATTAAGTTTTCAGATGTTGGCGAGATGGTAGGCTTAAAGGAAAACAAAGGAAACGTATGAACGTTTTTTAGGAAAAGAAAAATCTTATGTTGTTAAATCAAAAAGTTAGACGACCCTCGACCAAGTTCAGACTTGTAGTTCTGTCAGTGAGCATTTTTGGAAATGTCATAACCACAATTCAGTCGTAGACAATCCAGCGATGCTATCTAAACTCTAAATTTTTTTTTTTTTTTTTTTAAGGCAAAGGGGTGGCCTGGTATTGAAATCATCTAATTGATTTTGACAAATAAACATTCTAATAGAATGCGTATTTATGCATTTAACTAACACACAACGGACCTTCACACCACACAGGAGTACTCATTCAAAATACTGAGAAAAACAAATTAGGTTTTCATCATTCAATGTAAGAGACTCTGCAGATCAGTGAACACCACTGACAATTTCAGATTTCAGGCACTCTGTTTAAAGGTTATTTATCAAAATAACATCATATCAGTCATTTTTATATAACAGCATCTTTATGTTATAGCAGTCATCTTCCAAAGATAAAGCATAGTGTCTGAGCCTTCTTGTGAGCTACATGGTTGTTACTAAATTCCAGAATACTAAAATATTTAATAAATAACAATTTTAGGAAGAACAGCTCAGACTTATTTACTTCTTCCTTTCTAGATTAAAAGGAGGTGATTCTCCAGATTCTGGATATAGTCTCTTATCTTTGCCACTCATCTGCAACCTTGGACAGTATATCCACACACTGAGCTAATGCTGGAGGGTCTAAGCCACATTTCGTTAGCATGCAGCGGGGCCGTGGAAGCGTATACAAGGTATGAGTCTGTACCGTCTCCCATGACATCTGAAGCCAAGGCCTTCTTACAAATCCTTTCACCGTAAGAAGTCATCTGGAGGTGTGGACACAAAAAGCTGCACACTCATCCGTCCTAAAGCCGGATCAAGTCAAAAAAGGCCAATTCATGCTATCAAACCCCATGTTGCATAGTCTGCAGTAATGGTTGGCTTTAAATCTTCCAATTTTTCCTTTTCTCTCTGCCCCCAGAGAAGGGAAACTACTTGCTGCTGCCTGGCCGTAGCAGGCTGTTGTAACTCTCATTGCTGCCTGCCTTAACTTCCAAGTAGTGACACTTAAAAGTTTCACTTGAATGTGACTGCAGTAATTGTGTTACTAGGACAGAGCGAGAAGGGAAAGAGTGAAAACGCAGCAATGATTTCTGCAGTCTGCATAACACAAGCTTTGTACCAAGCCTCAACGTTGCTCTGCACAACCAACGGTGTTTTTTATTGGATCAGACTTCTGCATAATATGCTGCTACTGCTCCCTGGCAGTGAAAAGGAGCCTTTTAAATAGAAACCAGTGTAGTTTATACTCACTTCAAGAGCCTTTAAAATCACTTACTGATGAAAAACAGTCACCAAAAAGCCCTCTAAGCCCATATCTTGTCTCTGAAAAGAGCCAACTGGCCTATCGGTGCTGCAAAAGCCACTCTCAAAGTGATAATCGGGGCCACATTGCGGGAAGAAAGCTCTGGGCAAGGGCGGAGGCTGCCCCGAGAACGGACAGTCCAGGCAACCCTGACAAGGTGACGGGAACGGGGTATAGCAGCCTGTGCCTCCACAACCGTACCATCACTTCTGTGCTCTCTGTGTCACCGCTTTCAATCCAAGCTATTGACAACAGCTAAAGGAAAAGACTAAGGTTTTACTGGACCATATCGTAAGCAGACCACTGAGAGAAGAGAAGGCAGATGCATGCAGGAACAGGGTGATCAGAGCACTGGAAATTCCCAGAACAGCTTCTGTTTTAAACCACGCTGTCGCTAGAGAATTAATCACAGAGCTGGGAGGAAGTAAAGGAGACAGAAGCAGACACTGTAGCCTCCTAAGGCACATTTGTGTGGTTACACACACAGCTGCAATGGTACCCCCATAAAAAAGCGGGTGCTAGCCAAACTAGCCACTGGTAGGGTCTCGCAAGTCCTATGTCTGTGTTTTCTTGAAAATTCAGCACCGACACATGCTTGACACTGTGTCAGCCGTATAAAAACTAGGTTTGAAACTAACATTACAGTCCTGGCACGAACCGACTTGCAGGTGACCTATCGATCCCATCCTCAGGGAAAAGGATGCTTCTCGGAGCATGGCACCAAACCGCAGCAGTCTGGGCCACAGGTGCGATGCATCCACAGAAGACGGGCTCAGTACTCACCATCTCCTGTTTCAGGGAGAGAAGGGTGGCAGCTGCCAAACTCTCCTACTCTAAGGGAGAAATAGGAGTTTCTTTCTCATCTTCTCCCTCAACACAAATAAAATGGTTTAATGTACGCTGAGGAGAGGGAAAAGGGTGGCTTCCACCACGGCAAACTCTGTTTTGCAGCCCTGACTTTGTAACAAATGGAGGCTACAAATGGAGTGTGGTTGCAAGTGTCAGGATGGGCAAACCAGAGCTGGGGTAGATAAGTGTGCAGAGAGACAAAGAAGTCAGCTTCTTTGATATGGCCCTCCTGACTCTGCTCTAACGCAGCTTTAGAGCTGCGGACTGACCTGCCTTTCCAGAACAAGGCAACATATCAGTGAAAAAAAGGTATTAAGGCATTACTAGCATTCTCAATAGTAACAAAGAAAATAACCGCAGGGATGAAGAGGACATCAGAATCAGCATAAATAAAGCCTACACATGCAACATGTGGGTATAAAGACTGAACTGTTATTGCAGAGATAACTTACTGTGGCAATATTAGACACTAAAGCCGAGATTCCCCAGAGAAGACGTAACTCTTTTCCTTACCTTTTCTGCAGTTACTGCATCGCAGCTGCGGGTCTCTGGGAGCAGATCCCTCTTCTCCTGTCTCAGACTTGTCGAAAAAGAGTGACTTCGGTGAGGCTGTAGTTTCTTATTAGCTGGCTCTACAGGGTCAAGCTCTACATCACTCCAGGTCTAAACACAAACAGTGAAGGATTTCAGACAGTTACACCCTTTCCCAAATTCTGAAAGTTCTCACATTCTAGCAGGAAGCTTTCACACTTTCACAGAAGGCTAAATCTGTTCAAACACAGGTTTCATACCCAAAACTTCCATGGGGAGGTCCCTGACTTCTGATCTTGCCACTTTCCTGGGACTATTTTTCTGAGAGCCAACACACCTTTGAGATCGTGAAGAATGATTTCATCTCTTTTTATCAGCATGCTAGTCACTCTTCTTATTCTCACTGCTTGTGTGATGCTTATAGCTACCTGGCACCTGGACTCTAAGGTGGGATCCCATTATCTCAGCTAGCACATCCAGTCTGTTTAAGAAGCCTTGTGGTATTCTGCTTGGCCATCAGCTGCTCTCCTGCAGGTCCCAAATCCTATCTGTGCATCCCAGGTGGATCCCCAGAACCCCAGGGCTTCTCCAGCCCCGCGGGCACGGCTCTTCTCTGAACCATTAGCAGTGGCGTGGGAGGCAACGGGTAGGCTCTGCACCAATTGTCCAACCGCTTGCCAGTGACAGAGCACGATCGTGACTTGCAATCGCACCGTTCCATTTACAGGTTTATCATTTCGGGCAGAGGCCGTCAGTCATCTCTAGCTTTGTGGTGACTTTCTGACAGAGTGTCCATGATGAGATCATTCCACTGTTTTTCACATCAACGTTTAGATGGGGTTTGAGCAGGCTGCACACAAGCGTGAAGCTGGCACATAACTCCACTGCACTGCTTGACTCATACATCTACAAGTTACTGCCTTTATTTCTCCTCCCTCACAGAATTAAACTGCAAATATAACCTCGTGACTTAGAAATATGTTTGGCTCTCTGCACAGACATGTACACATACAAACATACAGGAAAGTGCTGGTGGGAACAGCTGCGTCTTTCAGTGTCATTCCTACCCGCCAACACTTTATTGGAGCATTCCAAAATTTCCCTCTGTGTTGCTATCATGTGAGAGCCGTTGAGCTGAGCTTTTATTTCAGCAGCTGCTGGTTCATCTAAAATCCGTACAGCTGCACTGGACTGTCAGTTGCCCAAAGAACAATTACCCTTGGCTGCGTCGACTCAGCACAACGCTGAACGACACGTCACCACCAGCAGTTGTTTTATTTGAGACTTGTGAGCAAAAGTCGTGCCAAAGGCTGAAACCTCTTAACAACCACATTTTCCCATTTCTTGAAGGGATAGCGTTTTAAACGCTAAACCGAACCAAACACACACGATGACCTGCCAACTTGAATGAACCAAAACCAGTCAGCGATCCACAGAAAAGAACAGAAAATGTCTTGGATCAGCATATATGATTCTGTCAAACCCACCTCATTTAATATCAAATGAATGATTAATGGGGAGGGAATTTAGGAATAAACTTCAAGTCAAGGAAGGGTGAAAGGGGCAAAAAAGATCAGGAATAAGTAAATGAGTAGCCTGCCTGTTTTTAACTATTCCAGCACGTTTCCATGTCTCTACCCACGCTGTCTACAACCAGTGACTTCAGCACAAGAGAAGTGTAAGCAGGCAAGCACACCTCATGAAGTCCAGGGGTTTACAAATACGTGTGGGTGCTTTTTTTGCTTAGGCTGTTAAACAATCTCTCACAAAATATACAGCTTTTGATGACAGGGTATGTGCATGTTCCATACACTAACTTCGTATTTCAAGGATAATCTGAGAGTTTTACAGCTTATGGAATTATCACAGTAGATACCCTAATGGATCATTGCGTAATCAGCTGTCTGAGTGGAATTAAACCAGCAGGCTAAACTATTTCATTTTCATCTACATTGCAACATAATTATTTGTGCATTTTTTAAAATACCTTCCAGAGCCAAGTAAAATACCACATTTCAGAGCACATACGAAAGGGAGTCATTCATGAAAATGGCTCAGTAAATGCTCACTTCTGTTTTTTCTATCACACTAAGATCTTTCGCCCTAACGTAGTGGCAATCGGATGACCATGAACGGGCTCCCCATGCTCTGAAGACTGCGACATTCTAGGCTAGCAAATTTGGAGATCCTCACATTGTGCTGCATGGTACAGTGCTGTCACGCTTTGCAAGAGTCTTATCACACACACATCTAACTCTGTCTGCCTCAAAAACAAAACCAGTATGTATAATAGTAGGCAAAAAAAAAAAAAGCTTTGCCCAGGCTAGGGCCCAGGAGGCCTTTTCGCTCTTCTACTTTCCTACCAAAAGACTCCATGCTGTAGGCGATTGCTTCTTCGCTACGTTTAATCCAGACCTCCATCCTTAAAAATACTCAGGATGCTTACAAAACATCTAGCTCTAGATGCAGGAGTCTTTTGTTCTTCATGGTTAAAATTCAGATAAACAAATCAAACAATTAGCTGTACAAAAGTAGACTTCCTTTAAAATAATGAAATTTTGTTTTTAGAAAGGTTAGAAAACTTTGAATAGGTCTGGATGGGAGATGGTTTTCCCACTCTCCAGCCCCTGCAAACATTGAAGTATGTAGCGGATGGTTGGTGACATGGAACGTCCATTCTCTAAGTTTGAGTATTTATTCACGGAGTCACTTATTTGGAGAGTCAGACAAACATTACACTCACTTTCCTTCACAGAATCAACACGGGACTTACAGCTTCTCCAGTGGAAACCGATGAAACGCAAGTGCTTTTGGTCCTGAAAGCAAAAGACTGATGACTGGAGAGAGAGGCCCTGAACGACGATTCGTTTATGGAGCCTCTCAGGAGATCGTTCTTTGACAACCGTATGAGGAAGCGCAGGCAGGGAACAGCATTGTGGATGGTTTTTCTGAAGGAAAACAGGAGAAGAAAAAACAAACATATTATCACGCTGACAACTCGACTTTCAAAATTACATGGTAAAAGCACCATCTCTTTCCATAATCTCAGCGCAGCTTTTTCTTGGACTGATGAAGGCTTAATACTACATAGAAACAGCTTGGTATATCTAGTGGAAACTGTTTAACAGGGCAAAAGGAAAACAGCAGGTGGCTTCAGGGCCTTGGATCAAAACACCCATGGAACAGATGCATGGATGAGCAGTAAGACTTGGTAATACCTTGAAAAACATGATTGCTTCCAAGTTGGTTAAACCAGCAACACAGAAAACTTCCAAATTAACTGCTACGAACACCACCTCTCTGCAGACAAACAGGACAAGTGAACAAAAGAAAGGGGACGAGGTCCTGAAGAGTTGCATTTTGCTATTTATTTGTATCAAGCTGCCCCATAAGCTCTTGTCAGGAGTTAAGACCCTGCTCTGCTCCATACCAACATAGAGCAGAACCACAACCCAGGCCTGAAAGGACTTAAAACCAGCCTAACGGTTAAGAAACAATCTCAGGCTGGTGCTGAAAAAGCAGTTGCGAACTTTTTTCCGTAGCTGAGACGAGAAGCTGAAGCGCTTCCTTCGGACGCAGGCGTAGCTTTTGATGTCTGCCATGGTGGGACTAGACCAGCATAAGACAGTCTACGTGGGGCCGTACGCTATTCAGTAACTTGAAGCTGGTGTAAGGCATACTATCCTGCTTATTAAGTGGGATTTCATACTGAGACCTCTTAATGCTGGAGGTTCAGGAAACGTGTCAAGGGAATGTGTGATGGCAAATTTTCAGAGACAACAAAAAGGCCATCTTTGAGGTCTTGCGAGACAGCAGTTTCAATCTTACTCATGTTTGGGAGGAAGGCTGAATGGCATTTTACAGGCTGAGGCTAAAGTAGGGATTTTGAAGGGAGTTTTAATATGATACAAGTAAAATACAAAATAGATATAAAATGGAGATGCTTATTTAATCATACTTCCATAACACTTTGAAATAAAATGAAGTCACTGAAAGTCAAATATTTAGTAACTGGAAACAACTTTTTGAGAAAACACTACAAATCAAAGTAACTTATTCAGTTGTTTATGATGGAATAGTTTTGAATAGATCTTTTTGGTAAAACTGCAATTCACTTGGGGACAATTTGGAAACATGGAGATGCAGAATTTTCCTATTTGCTATTCATGAACGATTAAAAACCTAACGTCTCTGCAATAATTCTAACACAGCCAAGCAATGTTCCCTGTAGCCCACATACAGTTTGCTAAAGGAATGTAAACTTTCTCCACCTCGTAGAACAGTATTTCATGCAATAAAACTCTTCATACTTCTCCTTACTTATTTAGTTACTCACTTTTTTTTTTTTTTATGTCTAGTGACACGTAGACACGTATCAGGGAGAGAAGTTTTCTTCTTTTTTCATCGGGGAGGGAGAGGAACACGACAGGACGCTATACAACAACTAAACTTCTAGAGCAGTTCTTAAAAGCCCTGGGCTAGCACAGGCATCAGTATTACATCTTCAGTGACTTCATTGTCACTTTTTTTTTTCTTTGCTCAAAGTAAGAAAACCCTACAAAAAGACTTTGATTTGTTAGAGGGTTAGGATGTGCAAGAGCAATTCTATGTGCAAAAAAAGCAATCTGCATTGGTAGCATTAAATCAGTCTGATCTGTGCCTGAACTCTTTAGATCCCAATTTCTAGGTGCCTCCTCTTAGAAAGATTTGAAAAGGAATTTTGATTTAACCCAGTTCAGTATATTCAATACAAAATGGCAATTTCCCCCCTACCCCTCTCACCTTACTCTTGTAAGTAAAGTGATTTATCCAGTGGTATCCATAATAGGCCTGAACAGACTGCCCCATTATGGATACCACTGGATAAATTACTTTAAAGACACAATGGGGGTGATCAAAACATCTGGAAATTATTCAGAAACCCTGATCTTTACACACACATTCATTATTCACCGTTCAAGCAAAATTGGTCCTGCCAACATATTTTCACCAGCTGACTGTTGGAAAGCATAAACCGTAGCTACTTTTTCAGTTTTCTGACTTCACGCTTGATTCATCACAAGTGACACAACATTACTTCCTTTCCTGACTGAACGACCTCCCAAGTCTGTAAAATGCCCTCTCAACAACCGCATAAACATTTCTTTTGTTGATATGTCTAGATATACATATTAGGAAGTAGGGAACAAAAAAATCATATTTTATGAGATTCTCAAAAATCCTGTTGTGGCGCAAGCCCTTTTCTTAATGCAGTCTTGCTTTCTAAATTCTGTAAGAAAAGGAAAAGCCAATGCTGGCAGGAGAAAGACTCACTGAAGCAGGTCACTGTATAGCATCGGCTTTGAAAACACTCACTTGACCTTGGAAAAATAACATATGGAATCACTGAACACAATAGCTCTGGGTCAAGAAAAAAAAAGCAATAAAACAAAAAACCCAGTAACACAGGTTCATAATGTGTCAGTCAGCCATGCAAATCTTCTCATTAAACTTCTGCAAATAATAAGAGACTAATCTTTTTTTTTTTTTAATTCTAAATTAAGATACTCAATAACCTCAAAAACTAGGATGGACTCTGTTTCTGGAGGATGCAAAATTTTGCCAGTTACTATAGCAGATATTTTCCTACCAAACATCTATTTTCACCATTTCGGGTGTATTTCCACCAACTTTCTATGGCATTTTAGCGGTTTTTACTACTCCGCTTTCATTCATCAGACGTTCAAAACAATTATAGCTCTCTGTGTTCTCCAACTCCCAAATCATAGTTTCAAGCAACATAACTTAGCAGTCTTTCTGCTTCGAGGAGGAGAAAAAACAGTTGTACAGACAACTAACCCTGCCACCTAGCGGCATTCAGTGCATTTAGTTTGGCACCAGGGCGCGCTTGGGCAGCATCCCTCGGAGCAAGATCCGCTTTGAAACAACTGCTGACAAATCTAAAGAAATGCCAAGTAAGGTCTGTTAGAAGAATTTCTCCTTTTGTACAATAACCTATTTGCCACTGCAAAGGTTTTGAAAGCACATTACTTACAGCAGCAATAATATATTGCTGACCTGCAGCTTCTGTGTGAGGTACAGCTTCTCCTGGGTATACCGCGGTGAGATGTAGAGAGGGAGAAAGTATTTAGGAGACCACGCTGTGCTGGGGATAGGGCTGAGAACAGAATGGATTTATGCCCCTTCCCTCGGGAAAAAATAATAAAAATAAAAACAGACTTGTTGGATTTTTGGAAAAAGAGTATTTCAGAAGTTTTAACAGGTGCCAATTGCTTTGCCAGTTCCTGAACACGTCTCTCAGCTGAAGCTGGGAGGGCATATCTGAATAAAATGAGGACATGTTAATAAAAAAAAAAAAAAAAACAGCTCAGCTTGAACAGTTTCTAGACACTGGCTAGCTCAGAGAGCAGTGTTTCGGTCACTCCTACAGCAGGAACAGGTACGGGTGCCCTTTACGAAGCGCAAGGCATTTCTTTCCCATGCTTTTCCTATACTGCCGGGAGAAGACTACATTGGTCTCTGTGGAGATGCTGGAGGGATCTACAGGAGTCAGTAACAGGGACTATCATGAACTTTCTCCTGCAAAGGGAAAGATTCCTGATCCTCTGGAGCTCCATCTTTTAAGGGATATAAAATTATCATTCTTTTCTGCATTCTGTTAATCTGATCTTTTACATTTCCCATTAAAGCAGCTGTGTGGAAAGCATGTCTTCATACAACACACGGTTACTTTTCTGATCGTGTGACATCCGCGGGAACAAATTATCTTTATACTCTCTGTCCCTCGCCTCACTACAGTCCAATGGCCTGGATAGAAAACAGAATTCAAACCTTTTGACTCCAAAACTCATATCCTGGCTGTGAGGGAATTAGCAAGAAAATAAAAAGGAAAGAAAAAGTCAGCTAACCATTCATAAGAACATCCACTTTTTTTTTTTTTCTTTTAAACCTTAGCTGAGGTGTATAGTGGGATTTAAAAGAGGATCTGGCCAAAGTACAGCACAAAATTCAGAGGTTTCTCAAAGGAAGGCGATGGTGATGTTCAGAAATTTTGAATGCATCAGTGCATGTTCCAAGTCTATATTTATGGGTCTATGTTACAACTGGCTATATACAGCACCGACAGATACGAGAGCAATTCTATTGATTTTGATCTCCCTCAAAAATCCTTCCCCGTAAAACTGGAAAATTCAATATAGGAAATGCAGCTTGTTGATGCTGAATGGCGTTTGAGAATTCATTAGTAAAATTGTGATAGGCTGCCACAGTTTTCTATTTTAAAATATTTACTAATTCATATCCATAATAATATATAGTATGAAAATGTAGAGTAATTTTCCTGTGAAGGCCTAGATTTGGAAATATTTCATGTGTATAAAAAAAATTGAAATGTTCTACACAAGTGATCAACATTACATTTTGCCCATTGAACCGTAATGCTGCAGTCTCCAATGTCTTTTTAAAAAGTCAAAGCTAACATTTTTGAAAAAGGTGAAGAATGGAAAGGCTAAACTTACCTGAATAAAACAAATAATAATAAATACAACAAATAATACAAATAATACAAACAATAAATAAAACAAATATGAAAACTGAGCTTTCCAAAGAGATTCTTTCAGAAAATAGAGTATTTCAGAACCATCAGTTTTATTTTTTCATGGCAAATACTTGCTGACCAGAGTTAGCAAGTTTGCTAACCAAAAAGCAATATTTTTCAGTACATTTGGAAACTTTTCCTAATTTTTAGGGAACTCTGTGCAGATTACCAGCCCCCGAGAGCTCCTACTTTTCACTGAACTTCTATGAAAATGCTATTTGCTTCAACAGAGCTTCTCCCAAGGGTCAGCACACCTGGAGCGCTGCACACAAGGTAGGCTCCACCGTGCATGACCAACTTGGATGTCCTGGAGCGACTCCAGTGTGCGACTGCCTGGATCCGGGCGCAGGGACCAGAGCACGGCTGCGCGAGGCGAGGCCAAGAGATCAAGGTTCGTTCATTCATTTTAAAAAGCATGTCTGCATCTATAGTTATACACATACCTATATGTCTACTGTACCTGTATCTTGGGTGAATTATTGCGTATATGATGGGGTTGTAGATTGCAGAAGCTTTGGCAATAACAGCTGGCACAGATTTGGAATAAGGTGTCAAGATGTTGCTGCGGCTAAAATAAAGCAAAAACATGATACAGAGCTAATGCCATGGATTAATGCTGAGTTATCAAAATGCATTACTCTTTTCTGACTGCTTCTGTGCTGTGACTCCTTGTCTGAAAAGTTAATTCATTAAAATGCATTCAGACTAAAGACTTGCATTTGTCAGTGTATACTTGGTTTCATTCATTTGGAGAAGCTGAAATATCTGCATGTCATTAGTTATCTGTCTGAGTATGACCAGGACATACAGAATCACCTTCTCTGTTTCTCTGCTAGTCACAAAGAAAAAAAGGAAAAAAAAAAGAAAAAGAAAAAGGAAAAGAAGAAGCACAGGTAACCTGTGACTATCCAGGAAGAGGGCCATCCAGTACGGCCCGTTCCTGATCATTCTTGAGAACGGGGAAAAGCAATAAGAAAATAGATGCAAAACTAAAATCCTTCAGCAACAGCTTCCATGCTGCACAGTAATGGGCGTCAGTGACTCCGTCCCAAATGCTACGAAAGGAGGAGAGGGCTGGGAGTGGTTTGAGAGCAACGTTTCCCCTTTTTGACTTCAAGCTCCCACAATCACGTGATGCACGCAATTGCAGGATAACGACAATTAACATATCAGCAGTATGGAACGTGCACTGACACCAGCTCCTCTCGGAGGGGAGCGCAGTTGGGGGTACGAAGAGGTGGACAGGCGCTTAGGGGTGAAGATTTGGGAACATACTCTCTTTTCTGGCCTTTTTCAGAGGGAGCAGCGTATGGAGGAAGATTCTTGAGAGAACAGGTATTAGGAGAGAAAAGAGTTAACTCTTCTGTGACATCAGAATTCACACAAAGAAAGTATCTTGAGGGAGAGGAAACAACGTGTACCAAAAACGCAGACAAGAGGTCATAATATTTTAAATAAGTAGACAAATAACCTTTTTCCTGGCTTTATCCAGAAGGATCTAGTAAGGAATGCAGTATCATCTCTGCTGTAACAATGATTTTAAACTCTTTTAAAAGAAAGACCTATTTCTTGCAGATGACAACACCAATCATATTTATATTTCGATATAACGCAAGTTCTTTGGATCATGTTTCCACTTACCCTGCCCAGGCAATCAAAGTGACGCAAGCATATGGAGACCAGGATAAGACGTATACAACGATGACCACAAAAGCAATTTTTGCCAGTTTCCATTCATTCTTCATGGACTGAGAGAGGTAGGATTTCCGACTGCAGGACCCTAGCTTTTGAACATCTCTGTAGCGGGGGGGAGAAGCACAGATATGTCAGCAGGAGGGCGAAGACAGTCAGGTGCAACATCTGCAGCACGTTCTCGGCAGCATGGCAACACGAAGCAGATTTCACCTTTCCCTGCTCTAACTACTCTCTTGTGCTCAGGTACTTAAAAATTCAGGAGATGGAAAATACTGTGGTCAGCCGCAGCCTCGGCCAGGCGGATTTCGGGCTGGGAGGGGAAGCGACGGGAGCCCCTTGCCCGTCACGGCTTTCAGGGGGCAGAGCAAGCAAAAGCAGAGCCGGACACAAAATGACAGATCAAATCTGATGGCTTTTCCTTTCACAAGGGGAAGCGTCCACTGACCTTCATCAATATCAGCTTCTTGGGTAAAACGTGCTGGAATACCCTACCTTGAAGAATCCAGCCCCAAACACTTTGGGGGCCAGTTTTACTTCTCTGCAGGTTTACTGGCCAGAGAAGTGTATTTTCAGAGGAAATATAACAGTCCAAAAAAAGAAAAAAAAGCGAGAGAAAAACAAAAATCTCTTCTCACATCAGAAAACAACAAACACCCCTCACTTTATTAAAAAAAAAAAAAACCATCTTACATGGTTTAGTACTGAAATACAAATTTGACAAATCAGTGTTGTTATTTTAATGAAGATCTATTTCAGGCTGAAGACAGTAATTACCAGTCAGCAGGGTAACAAACTGCTTCCTGGTGCACTGTAAACATACCTGCAAAATAAGTTTATTGTGTTAGTCAGTGAAAGGCATATAAAAATGCCTGTAAAAATGTGGTCACGGAGGACAGCACTGGCTTAAGGAACAACCTTTGCTCCTTAGCTTATTATCAAATATATAAACACAAAGCATAATAAAAGCCAAAACCAAGGCCAAAAAATAGTTCAGCAAGAACTCCAGTTTAGGCGCACCCTTGTAAATACCCTTGTAGGAACCTCTGCTGAGAAAACCTGGAGTTTGGTCTCGTGAAGCCAAAAGACTTTAGCAAGTGCTTGAAGGTAGGCACAAATTTTGGTGAGAAAAGCCATCAGAGCTGATGACACAGCGAGCAGCGGGCATGCTCATAGGTTCAGCTGGTGCTTGATCAGGTCAAAAACAAATGCGCTCATTATGGAGGGGAAAAAAAAAGGCAACAGAATGAAATTCCCTTATTGATCTAACACCCTGCTGATTTATTACTTCACATCTACAAATATAGATCTTGTAAAAAATTACATCTTTACAAGCATAACCAGATTTTGTGCATGCAGTTGTTCACCTGCTTGAGTAAACCACAAGGTTTTCTGGGATGTCCGTGTTAAATAGAACTATCAAAATATAGGAGGACTGTTTTGTTTATAGATCAGCTCCAAGGCAGACAATGACCCCATTGCTATGTGCCAATAATCACCACTGTCGAGGCTAAAATTACAACAACCTGAGACTCCCACCCCCTTTCTCCAAAATACATGTATCTATTCCAATTATTACATTGGCAAAAACGTTTCTCTAGTTACGGGTGTTAATGATCTGCCACTTTCTTCCCTAAATCGGTTCAGATTCATTTCTAGTTCAGATTTATCTGCAGCTACGGAAACTGAGAATATCTTCTAATGCAGTAAAAGAGAGATTTACATATTTCAGCTACATTGCTTACCTGCCAGTACTTCTTATGGCCAGGAACATAAATAAATAGCAATGGAATATTATTACCAGGGGAATGAAAAACACACAGCAACATAAAATCATGGTGTAACTTCTGTTTGCAGGGGAGTAGGTTACATAGTCCCACGTACACGATATCATCAAGCCCTCAGGCACATAGGAACCTATGAAATACATGAAATACGTTATTTACACTTTTGCCCAAAGCTTGCGCAGTTACTGATTCAACATCTGAGTAATTAAAATAAATGCCGTATTATTTAGTCTTCATTAGCTACGCTGGCCATACTGTATGCATGGTCCGAGAACGCAAGAGGGCACTCAGAGTGCAGGTCCCGACTGCTAGACTCTCAGAGGTGCCTAACAGCCTACCTGGAGTAGGGTCTGCTTGAATGCAACGGGGGGGGAAAAAAAAAAAAGGATATCTGCACTGCAGTAGGTGCAGCTATACTGCGTGACAGCAAACCATCGTGCAGTAGCTCTGCATCCACCCGAGATTTTCCATATCCAAACCTCATTTTTCCATATCGCGAGCAAGGGAGACAAGGCGACCAAAGCAGGGAACGCTAGACCCGATAACTCCACCCCAGCAGCGGGGCCACGCTCCACCCCAGCGAGTAAAGCCAGACGAGGGCGATGACCTGCGCGGCGCGTCTCTTCGAGGTCCACTGCATGGACCGCAGGGGCTTAGTGATCACCAGGTAGCGATCGACGGAGATAGCTAATAACGTCATCATTGAGGTTATCCCGAAGAGCGCCCCACAGAAAGCGTACAAGTCGCAACCTGAAGCGGAAAAAGGGAACGTGAGGGTTTTTCTTTATACAACAGAGGTGTGTTTTCTCTCACAGCTTGAAGTGACAAATTTCCCTTTTTTTCTTGGCTCAGGACTTCTCTCCCATTAGAGGATTCTTCTTAGCCTCACAATTTCATAATTAACAAATGCTTATTAGGAAAATCCCAAACATTGATAAAATACAGATGTATATATTAAACAAGCCTTACTCTCCACTGTGGGCTGTAACCAGGAACCTTTTGTCAATGGAAAACGGCCTCAAAGAGAATCCAATCTAATTAAAGCTACATTTTCCTGGACTGTTGCCCAATATATTGATCTTAACTGGCTGCAGCAGATATATGTCTGCTAATGACAAATGGATGTTTCAAAAATGACTTTGGCTTATATGGCTCAAAAAATGTAGAAGTGGTTTCAATCCAATGGCTAAAACACCAGCTGTAAAATACAGCTCCAGCTCCTATTAAACACAGGACTTGTTTTTTTAAACTTACAGTTTTTACTTGAGGCAGACTTTTCCCCCTTTCTGCATTCAGGCACTGTGCTAGCAGAGTTACACTCTACCTCATCTGATTCAGAAATCTGTTTCAAACGATCAGTCACTTCTTGAGGTCATGTGCCATGCCATACGGCTATAGACGACAGCCCAGCAGAAGGAGACACCTCTAATATCAGATTCAACCTTAAAGCAATCTTCTTACAAAGCCTTTAAAAGAAACCCACAATAATGGACCAAATCCCACTCAGCCTAAGTCAGTTGCTTCCTTTGTGGCAGCAGGATCATTTACAACAAGCAAATAAGATGTGGGCTGATTTTATCGAAGTGGATGAGCAAGACTAACGTCCTTAACCTAATGAATAGCCCCTTCTATGCTGCTAAATCGTCTCCGGACTTGCTCTGCCAATACACTACCACTGCTTGATGCAAATTTACATCTGAGGATCTGATAAGCAGTAATAAACAGTGCATCAGGCTTTCTGAGAAACACACTATACTTACATCTGATCTGAAATTTCAGTATCTCCTTTTTTTCTTGTAGTTGGAAAGAAAGGACCTCCAATTTCCACGAAGCCCTCAACTGACTCTCATTATTTAATTCTCTTAGTTAAATTTAAGATCCCTAGAAGCATGCTAATGGATATCAACATACATTTCAAAATAAAAATATTAATTCCCCATCAAACTGAATACGGAAAAAAACAGTTTATGATTTAATAAAACTTTTCTACCCATCTCCAGCAATAGTATCTGCCCTTGACATGCTAAAAAGTCATACGACTGTTATTCGACTCCTCTCATTCCAAAATATGGAAGATGAAAGAATCAAACCTATACAACAAAAAGCATTTATGCCATTACATCTCATTGACTGAGATCCTCCGTTGTTGTTCGAGAATCCCGTGTTGCTGTCTCCACAGCACAAGCCAAGATCGTGATGGCTAAAACGGGCTGTAGACAGTGCAGAGGTGGAGAGGTATCAATTAGTGTTGCAAAGTACCTATGTCTCCAAGAATCCACTTTTTGTGCAAACTGTTGACAAAGCAGATGGGAGCCTGCGAAGCAGACATCAGGAAGTCACTCACAGCCAAATTCATAATAAAGTAGTTTTGTGGTGTCCTCAGCTTCTTGTTGCTAAAAATAGAGAGAGAAGTATACATTTTAAAATATACAAAATGAACAGTCCGTAAACTTTATTTACTAAAGTGAGCAAATACTTTCCAGGTTGCAATCATTTACTTCATCCATCCGCCAATTACTGCAGTGTCAGATGGAGTCATTTCAAAATGACGACTGGCAAGGGGAATAAAAGGAATCACTTCCAAGCTATCCAAGAACATTTCCAAGAACTCCATCTATCCTGAGAAACATGGTTTTGTCCAGGAGAAGAGCAGCCTCCCTCCTTCCCCTAGTTGCCTATAACAGCACTAACACCGAGCACCCGCCGCACTTTGCAAGGTCAGGCTCTGAAGCAGGTTACAGAGCCCAAGGACAACTTTGGGTGAACTTTTAATAGCTGGGGACCTAAAGAGTCACCGCGTTACCAGTAACTAAACTGCTCTTTGCAAAGTGTCATGGGGCAAGCAGAGCATTTGAAAGAACCCCTTTATCCACCCCTAAGCGAGAACAGAAACACTTAGGTGCTGATAAACAGGAAACATTAAATGCCAGGCAGGCAGTTTGAAAGCAGGGGCCAGTCAGAAGGGAGACAAAGTTTGCCCAAGGAAAACAAACAGTATTTTCACTGTTTTCCCCCCCCTTTGCCCATATCTCACCACCCTGTCATAGTCCCACTTCTTAGACATATCTGGAGTTGCAGTCTCGTTGGAAGCTTAACAATGGTATTGGAGATTATCCTTGGCTCTGGCTAAGAGGAATAAAGATGAGGATAGGTAGTTGGGGTTATTGCGTTGCACATTCCCTCGCTGTTCTGATCAAATGTTTTGCTGCAGGAGGCATGGTAAATTAATTTTTGAGATCAGCTCACCCAAATCTACCATGTAACTGGCACTTTGGATAGATATACTGAGAAGGTATAACACTGAACCACCAATCTCTCCAAGTGAAACACTGTATTGGCTGCATGGCTAAGCGAAGAGCTTCGATAACTAGTGCTTGAATTCAGAAGTTTACAGTGCCAGGTGTACATGACATAAAAAGAGATGACTTCCCACATTCTGTGAGACATAAGGAGTAAGCAGGATTTTATAAATAACTTTGTCCTTGGAATCTTCATATAGTAACTCTCAAAATTTTGAAATAAATTATTTCCTCTCTCCAGAGTGCCTCCTTTCTACATCAAAGGTGTAGGAAAGTCTACCAACTGAGGCCTCTCTGATATGCTACCAAAATGTCAATGTTCACAATTTACATGAGCTTATTTCCTCATATTAATAAAGAAACATTGAGAAAGAAATTGAGAAAGAAAGTCATCTCAACACACCTCCACAACTCTAATGAAACCATGGGTCTCGCAGCTGTTTGCAATGCCCGAGTGAGACAGGGTGCAGAACTCATATCTTTGCAGGTATTCTTGTTTCAGAGCTTCCTCCTATGCTGATTTAATGCATTTATTACACTAGGTAAAACAAATTTTAAGAAAGCCGTAGAGCCTGCAGTGTATCACAAATGTCACATAGGGATCTGCAATTGCTGAGAACTCAGTTTCTCTTCTCTCTCACGTTAAAAGCCAGTTATTTAAAAGAACGATACTTACCTATTTGGCTGAAGCTATTTAGAATATTAAGCTAATATTTGGCTCGCAACCTCACTGGTGTTTCTAGCATGCTAAACGCTCTTTGTACCAAAACAAATGAAGATAAGCGTTGAGCAACAAGGATTTGGAAATGCAGCACCACAGTATGCGACAAAAGGCAACTTCTTCCCAGAGATATTTACATACTCTAGCTGCAGCTGTTTCCACTACCCATCACACTGTCAGAAGGCAACAGGGCATACAAACTGACAGAAATCCTATGATCTGCCTGAAGCAGGGAATACGCAGATGGCATGAGCTCACTGCACGCACCAACGTAGCTTCCTTGGTCCTTCCAGCCCAGTGTGGGCTGGAGGGAAGAGAGGTAGTTTTGGTAAAATAGTCTACAGGCTCTACAGGGCTAGCGAAGGAATAAGGTTTGCAATCGAGAGGCTACTGTTTTGATTAGTTAAAGTACTAAATTTTTCTTTAAACTTGGCAGAGAATTATTCACACAATAAGGCTCGATGTATTTACTCTCTCATTTTCACTGATTCCTTCGAAGATGAGGAATTCGTACTGAGGCTATCAGTCATGTGCATGGGGTGGTTTTTGCCATTTTTCCCCGCACATTTGAGGCCATTAGCCTTTGCCTGTAGATTTAACCCCAGAAGAAACCAAGGCAGAACATCCGCCCCCAGACACACGTGATCCTCAAGGCACGTCAGAAGAACTGTAAACAAAAATCTGTACCTGTAAAAGGCGTAGAGAACTAGGAGGTTTCCTATGATGCCAACAGTGCCAATTACGAGGACGCACGTTCCAACCGTGTAAAGAGCGTGGTCAGGGATCTCTGCTGTGGTCACAGCGTGCTGCTCAGCGCCCATATTCAAACTCTGGAAGGAAAACAAAGGAAAAGGAAAAGTTAGCACGTTCGGTACATTTATTCCAGGGGACACTGACTCAGTATGCTGAAACAGCGAAGGAAGGCAGAGCACCCCACTTCCACAGCTTGTGCAAATCAAGCAGGCACCTCTGCACTGTCTTCTGATCCCCTGTAACCAAGGCAAGTTTCCCCTCCAGAATTATTCAATATTTGCTTAGTTTATTAATACCAGGGTGTTTTTTATATATATATAT